GGGCCAAAGAAAAGCATGCATCATGCCAGCACCTAGAATCCCTACACATACAGACAACTGCACATATGCTGAGCAGGAGTGATGGGACGCTTTCAACAATATACTCTCGGTGTTCACGTCATGTACTAGGGTGCACTTAAATGCACTTTGCCTTTATTACGGCTATTATGAACAAGGCTCTGTGGAGGGTGCTGAAACTTCAGTAAACTTTGTATTATTTTTGGAGCAGGAAAAATGGTGCTTTGGAGCAGCTTTGATTGTTTTTGGAACAGAAAGCAAAATATTCAAATGACTCGTGGAGTTTAATGCATCATTTAAGCCTCTTATATACAATAATATTTACTATTACATATATAGCACATACAATAATCACTGCAAATTGCAAGAATCATAATTAGGTAGATGCATAGTTTGAACACCAAGTGTTGTTTTCATATTTAGCAAAAGTTGCCAGCATTGACAATTTCAAAAATCAAATAAGCTAAATGAATTAGCATTTAAAATGCTTGTCCTTGCAACATAAATGAGGTCAAAGCTGATGAAAGTGCTAAATGTAATCAGTCACATGTCAAAGAGAGAGAGAGAGAGAACAACTTTACTACGGTCGAGTGCAGATGCTGAGGTTGCCACGCGTCACCGGGCTACTCCCACGTGGGGACCGGCAGGTCTAACCTGACGGCCCTGTCGCGGGCACACTGGATGGCCAGGATTTGGTCCTGAAGTTCTGCGCTGTACAGAAGCGCATCCCACTCGAGTTTGCGATAAGTCGGTCCAAGCGACCCGCACTCCCAGAGCATGTGTGCTAATGTAGCAGTCTGCCCGCAGGCGGCATCGGGGAATTTGTGAGGATAAATTGCGTTTTGGTATGCTAACGACGAGTACGAATGGGTTTGAAGTAAGCGCAACGAGACGGCCTGTGCTCTATTGAGTTTTGAATGTGGCATTGGGAATGCCCGCCTCGCCATGTAGTAATACTTCGTAATCTTGTGTGTAGTAGGTGTGTCTTTATGCCCCGCGTCGTTGGCACTGGAGCCGTCGCCCAGGTCGAGAGCAGCGCAGTCAGTGAGTGTGCGCGCTGCTGTGTGGGCCGACTCGTTCGCGTTCAGTGCAACGCCGTTTACGGAGCCGACATGCGCGGGGAACCAATGTATGGAGTGAGGGACAATCATATCGCTGGTGGAGCTGTTCAAGATCCTGGCTGCCTGTGTTGATATGCGGCCCTTTTGAAAGGCTCTGACTGCTGCTTTGGAGTCGCTGTACACCTTTTCGCACCGATCATTTAGCAGAGAGAGTGCGATGGCCACTTGTTCGGCCACCTGGGGGTTCTTGGTGCGTACCGTGGCGCAGTTGGTAGTCGAGCCCATCTGGTCCACGACCACCGCTGCAAACTTTTTGCAGTTTCGATATGCTGCAGCGTCAACGAAACTTGCATTTACGCCATCTTTTCCCAGTTGCATCAGCAGAGCCGTCGCCCTTGCCCGACGACCTCCCTCGTTGTGTATGCGAACACAGATGGGCGGTGCCCACACTGTGGGGAGACGTGTGATATCTTCCACATAGTATGGGCATGTCCCAAAAATCCCCACCTACCCCCTTTCCCTACCCCTTCCCGAGAGGCATGGGAGACTGCCCTCCTCAACTGCTCATCACTAGAGTCTCAACGGGCTCTGGTGAGACGGGCGCGAGTAGGGGCCTCGTCATGCGGTGTCCCGGACTAGGGACGCCGACCATGTAGCAGGGTCATGCTTTGGCCCCGTACCTCTCTCTTTATAATAAATGTTTTTCATCATCATCGTTGTGTACAGGGTGAGTGTTGCGGAGTATTGGGGCAACAATGACGTTTTCCTGTATATGTTTTGATATATGCACGCTATTTGTTTCCAGCTCTATAGGGTTAAAACCTAGCTCGCTAAGTATGCGCCGACCAGCTGTCGTAGTGGACAAGCGAGCCAGCTGCGAGCGTTGCTGCGCTTCCGCTATCTCGGCAGCAGAGTTGTGCACACCAAGCGCGAGCAAGTTCTCGGTGTGTGTGCGTGCTTTCTTGACAATCTTTCTGATAATCACGTCGAGCTTGTCCCACTCTGACCTAAGCCAGTTATGCATGGCAACAGTGTAGGTAAAGTGGCAGAGCGCAAACGCATTGATGAGCCTTAACAAATTGTCTTCTTTAAGACCTCTATGTCTCCCGAAGACTCTTTTGACGAGCCAAAAAGCGTTGTCAGTCTTGGCGACAATCTTCCGCAGAGCGGTGTCGTTGCCACTCTTCACTTCAATAAACATGCCGAGGATCCGGATCGTGTCTACTCTCGGGATTTCTTCCCCGTCACTCGTGTAAATGTGTATATCGCTTTCTTCAACGGGTTTCCATCCCTTAGGTCAGCCACCTTGTTCTTTTCGATAGAGCAGAAGCTCCGACTTGGCAGGTGAGCATCTGAATCCCGTTTGGCACAAGTACGATTTCACCTCGGTGACTGCTTCTTGAAGGGCATCTTGCACCCGGCCTTCGCTGCTGCCAACGCACCAGATTGTGATGTCGTCGGCGTAGATGGTATCTTTGATGCCGTCCACGCTAGCCAGTCTTTTTGACAGTCCGATCATGCAGAGATTGAACAGCACCGGAGAAATCACAGACCCCTGGGGCGTGCCTCGATGTCCGAGTGGTACGTCTTCAGAGAAGAAGTTCTCAATGCGCAGCCTCGCTTTTCTTCCAGACAAGAAGGACTTGATGTAGCCTGGGCCCAAGCTCGAGTTTTGCCACAGTCTCCAAGATGAATTTGTGCTTGATGTTGTCAAAGGCCTTCTCTAGGTCTAGGCCAAGAAGAGCCTTTGTATCTCTAGAGTATCCATCAAGAACTTGGTGCTTAATGAGCACATGTCAAAGTTGCCACAGCAGTGGCTGCTACGCCTGAGAAGTCTTGCACTATTTCACTAAAACAGGCTGCTTGTAAGGTACAGATATACAACTACTATACAAGCTGTATACTAGACGACAGTATACAGCTTACTTTTGTTTTCATTTAAGCTCAATGGATGGTCACATGCTTATGATTCTTTACCTTCATTGTTCCAAAGGACACTCAAGAGCAAAACGATTTTTCGCTTCTAGTAAAGAACGATTTCACAATCCTGAATTATATCACTCTTATCTCGACATGACGCTCAGTAAGCAAGACGTGTGAAAAGAGAATGCGTGTAGTGACACCATTTTGAGATTGCCGCAACAAACACCATAATGTAAGAAATCCTGAAGGCGTCTACTAGGTCCTATATAGCTTCCAATCGATAAAAATGAGGTAAACTGTCATCTCTGGGAGCCATAGATACGATGTTTAAAAAAATTTCATCGAGCCAATGCCACGAAAATACTGAAGATACATTTTGAAGCTGCTAACATCACGCGTGGCAATTTCGGCGAAGTTAAAAGATACTTCAACCTTGATTTTATCCACCAATATGAACTTATGATAGTGAAACACGTGACATTAGAGTTTTCAGAGTGCAGTTTGTCAATCTAAACAACACTACTGTTCCTCTTTAGTGTCCCCTTAGGTTCCCCAATGTCATTTTGGAGCAATTACTAACAAATGTTGCACTTTAGAGCAGCATGAAGCTGCATTTTTTTTTTTTTTGCAGCAGTTTGGAGCAATTGAGACAGCACTTCCATCACTGTATGTACACTAAGGAGCTAAAGTTATGTATGCACTGCCTTTTTTTTTTTTTCATGCATCTAGCTGTTCACCGCAGTTGCAGCCGAAGGAGTGGCTTTTTAATCTTTGATCAATGGTTATGCTTAGTTTTGTGACGGTTGCACAGACTAACATCAGTTTCCATGACCAGGCCAGATTTTTCAGAAATTCCCTTACCTTTCCAGAACGGTCCAAATTCCCTGAATTTTCCCGGTTTTCCAGGTTGGTAGACACCCTGTAGATCGGCACATCAGACTTATTTTTGAAGTCCGTTCAATGAAGTTTTGCGCTCCTCAGTATTGGCGTAGCCTATGCGTGCAACCGCCAAATCGCCCATACATAGGCAGTGGAACATACTTGTGCATACAACACCGCTGAGGCAAAGTGGCTCTGCAGCTGACAAAAACGAGCAACGTGCATGAAAACGAGTACCTGTGCAGATCGAGCAGATTTAGAAAAAAAAATTTTTTTCAGTGTTCGTCTGAAACCAAAAGAAGAGCGCAGTGAGCAAGTTCTAATGGCCGAGGCACGTTAAAATCCTGTATCTTTAACCGAGGCTGTGGGATATATTAATTAGAAAGTTTTGAAACTTTGTGATAAAACAATTAGCTGCACCAGAGGCCATGCATACAAGCATAGACTCTCTGGACAACTTCCTCTCTTCTTACAATTAAGGCGTGAATCCAAAAGATAATTATAAAATTCTTTACAAAACAAATTGTACTTTTGACATGATACCCCACTACGTCCAATGCAGTTCTCTATTCTAGTGAGCATTCAGTTTAGTGAACTTTCACTTAAGTTAACTATTTCCTTGGGTCCCTTGACGTTCACTCAAGGGAGAGTTCACTGCAATATTAACTTGGGCACATGGGGACATCGCTACATAAGCATATGGAATACACTCAAACCTCACTATAACAAAGTTACATCTCACAAAAAATAGGTTTACTATATTTGAAATTCGTTATAATGTACTTGCTTAACATTGCATCTATTGCAAGAGTATTTATTTGCTTCTATATAATAGATATTTCGTTATATCCATATTCTTTCTATCAATGTTTCAGTGTATGTGGCATGTAGAATTGTATGTGGTTGAGAACTGTTGGAGAGAATCAAGTGTTACAGTGTAGATGAGACTAAGGCAAACTTTCAAGGTAATGAGAATTTTAAATAGTGTAAACATCATAGAATATAACCAGCTTCGAGGTGCACTTATCAATGATTAGCTCCCAGCAAAAAATGCTGAAAAATGAAAGTAAACTGCAGGCCTCACACAAATGAATAAAGCATGCATAATTTAACATGGAGTGCAGTGCTTCTTCTGTTCTTTTTTTTTATTAAGTATGGTGTCGTCCACATTCAAAGTAAACACCTAGTTCATACTCAAGTACTCATATAAGTCGATTTTTAATACATAAATTATCAAATTATTACTGTGCTTGTCAACACCACGATCACACGTAAAATAAAAATTTTCTATTTGAAGTAAACTTTCTATTTTTGCTAGCCAGAATGCTAATGATGTCTTCACTTCAGATGTGGTCGACCCTGTATATCTGAAATGTACAGCTCTGAGGTGCATTTATCAACAAGCAGCTACTTATTTCGTGAAAAAAAATCAGGAAAAATAAAGGGAACTGTGGGCCTCACATGGGTAAATATAGCATGCCTGGTTTAACAATGGGCCAGTGTCTCTTATGAAGTCCGGATGAAAACATCTACACATGAACGAAGCATTGATCCATGTAAGTGGCAGAACCAGTCAAGCAGATGGTGTATTGGCATCATGTGTCGCAGCCCACTTGCGCTCAAACTCTTCCTGCTCTCTCCAAGCTTTCACCTTTGGATCTTCATACTCTTCTTCTGGGTAAATACTGAAGGGCCGCAGATCCTTGTACTTCCCTGCATGAGGGTTTGCAAAAATAGTGCGCTGAAAAAGTGAGCCATGGCACACATGCTTCCAAAGCAATGCATTTTTATTTGTTGAATATGTATTGGCCAATAGAACCTGAGACACATTTCTTGCACAGACCATCCCAGCTGATATTACACAAGCAATTTAAAAAAAAACAATGCCATTTGCAATTATAAGACCAGCATTGCTTGCACATCGCAGTCTTCCACCACAATAACTATTTTGTACTGATTACCAGGTAAATTTATAACAATTTTATGTGTGTTGCTATTAGTGTGTTATTGTGTATGTATGTATGTATGTATGTATGTATATATATATATATATATATATATATATATATATATATATATATATATATATATATATACGAGGGACTATTAGTCAGCTGCCAGCTCGTAATAAGTTCACGTGCTGCGTGACGCCATACAGGCTCATAAAAAGAGTGTACCACTCGCCACCATGGCTACAGGTGGCGCTGACTGACACTCCCACGTTTAAATTCACAGATAAACCCAATAAAGTGGCTGGGGAAATAGCCGGCATGATAGCTCAAACGCCGAGCATCGAACGCGTTAATAGGAGGCCGTAGGTTCGATTCCTGCTCACGGCAAGTTATTTTTTCACCCACTTTTCTTTCTTCTTATTTACTTTACATTGGTTCTAATAACTTCCCCTATACATTCCGTGTTTTGACACAATATTAATGAGATCTAACACACAGTAATGCCAAGGAATGTACAGGGGAAGTTATTAGAACCAATGGAATGTAAATAAGAAGAAAGAAAAGTGGATGAAAAAATAACCAGCCGTGAGCAGGATACGAACCTACGACCTTCGAATAACGCGTTCGATGCTCTCGGCTGGTTATTTTTTCATCCACTTTTATTTCTTCTTATTTACATTCCATTGGTTCTAATAACTTCCCCTGTACATTCCTTGGCATTACTGTCTGTTAGATCTCATTGTATACATATATATATATATATATATATAAAAGTAGTGCGCGATTATGAACGTTGCAGTCTATATATATATATATTGTGATGTACTAGACAGAGAACAAGAGACAACACTGATCCTGGGCCAGCTGTTCTTATTCTGACTTCGTTCTTCTCTTCTTTGCTTTAGCTACCCGCGGGCCGAAGTGCCAGCGTCTTTCTTGGTCATGACACTCGGCCATGACTGCGCGCGCGCGAAGCTGGCGGCAAAGTTTCTGGTGGGCGGGCTTGGCTGCATCGTGGTGGTCAGCCCGGACCACAATGCAACATGGAGCGACGGTCTGGGGGAAGCGTCTCTGGTGGACGGCACTGGCTGCCTTGAGCTGGTCGCTCTTTTGAATGCCACGGTGTCTTTTGAAAAAGAGCTGTGGACTCAGGCAGCCGGTATTGGCTGCCCCGTTGCGGCCGAGGTAGATCCCTAAGGTAGATCTGGCGGTCGATATACTGGCTGCATCTCGGAGGTCGGCCTTGGCCACGCTGAAACTGGGTGCCAGAGTTTTCCACAAGTCTATCGGGAGGTCGTGACTGGCTGCATCGTTGTGGTCGGTCTCAGCCATGCAGAGACTCTCTGAGGGAAGCAGCTAAACATGCACCTGACAGCACGCTTCGGACGGGCCGCAAAATCAGCGACAGACGAACTCCGGACGAGGGTAGCCAAAACAGTATCCCAAAAGACGCGCTGGGTACCTTGGCTTGCGTCGAGAATGGGTACGCAACTTCTGAGATGTGTGTGGCAGAGAACATAATTTACGGCCGGTTTCGGCATCTGCGGCAGGGCATTTTGTGAAGCTGTCATCGTATTGGCTGCTGTCTGCATCTTGAGCGCCAACTTTCTCCTCATGATCTTGGTCAGTGAGACCAGCAGTGCTTACCTTGGGCTCTACCGGCGCCATGACCGTAGGCGGATCAAGCATAGGCGATGCTGGTGTCTCCACTTGCCTCAGTAAAGGTGATATTAGGGCTGGCTTCTCTAACTGAGCTGTACGAGGACTGTTATCAGCCTCTTCCACTGACATGATGGCGTCGCGTACCGGCGCGGGTACTGAGAGCAGCAATGGCGTGTCGCACCTGCGTCTGATGTCATTCGTAGGACAGGCGGAGAAGCTTTCTGCCGCGTGGCTGGAGGGCTCCGAGGAACCTTCGAGGTGTTGCTCCACTTCAGCTCGGTGTGCGAATGGGGGTGCGTCGTTGAAGGGCAATGCAGCACAGTTGAGATGATTCTCTGCGGCTGTTTCGTTGGAGCAACGCCCTTCAAGAGGTCTGACTTTGGTAGCGGCCTGCGGCCGCAGTGAACTTGCTTTGGGTATCGACAAAGTGTCTAACTTCTCGTGTGGTTAGCTGCAGAGCACAGCTGCAGCCTCGAGGTGGAAAGCCTCTGGAGCTTGCTCCTCGGTACCGGCCAGGTTGGACGGGGTGGTGGTGGAGAGGTGGTAAGGATTACGACCAAACGCAGCTATGAGCTTGCAGCTCCACTCCGCCCATCACTGCTGCTTCCAGCCTTCATACCGGTGCCACGCCGCTGCACCTTCCCGAAGACGGTCTATGACCACATACCATTTCTGATTCTCTGTCCAGGCCGTGCGCATTGCTAGCGCGTTGACGGTTGCCACCCAGCTGTCGGCGTCGTTCCGGACCCCATGGAATTTCGGTAGTTTGCAGGCGGCTGGTGATTGTGGGGTGGCAGGTGGGGACGCAGAGATCACCGACACGAAGCAGTCGAGCTGGTGTGAGAGCTCGATGAGAGAAGACCGAAGCTGCCTGCGTTGCTCCGGTGTGCTTGCCTCAAGGTCATATCAGGCAGCTACATCCAACACTGCGTTAATGTCACACAATGCTGGCAACATTGTAGGAGCTCGCTCGGCGATCAACGCTGTCAGTTCGTTAGTCTCGACGCGGAGTAGCGCGATGGTACGCCGCAGGTCCGTGGTGCTGTCGGGTGGGAAGAGTCAGTGATCGTGGTCTTTGAGTAAGTAGCAATCAATTGCAGCACTCACCCCGGTAAGGTCGACGAGCAGGAAAGCCTGGACGACGTTCCGTGGCGGCTCGTTTGTTGAAAGAGTACCACAACGGGAATGTAGGCCATGGGAAACGTGAGCGGTATTCCCAAGAGACAGGAGCCGGTGCGGATCCCTGCCGTGAAACGGTGGCAGGGTTTCAATCAGGTCATGGCCTAGAACCACAAGGGAGGCCTGGACGCCGTCCACAGGTGGTCTGAAGGGTGGCTGAAACGGCGGGCGGGACCCCATCGCTAAGGAAGCGTGAACGGTGTTCCTTGATAAAGAAGCCCGCGCTGCCGACGAACCATGAAGACGCGTACCGGTGGCTTTCTACAGGGGGTTCACTTGTCGGACTGCGCCATTGTGATGTACTAGACAGAGAACAAGAAACAACACCTGATCTTGGGCCAGCTGTCTTATTCTGAATTCGTTCTTCTCTTCTTTGCTCTAGCTGTCCGCTATATATATATATATATATATATATATATATATATATATATATATATATATATATATATATATATATATATATATATATATATATACCAAAAACAAAAGTGATGCTGGGTCCGGGAAAGATTATTCGTATAGGGAAGAAGACGCACGTACGAAGTGATTTTATTTACGTTCCGGCCGTGGGTCCGGCCTTCATCAGAATGTTTCTGATGAAGGCCGGACCCACGGCCGAAACGTAAATAAAATCACTTCGTACGTGCGTCTTCTTCCCTATACGAATATATATATATATATATATATATATATATATATATATATATAGACTGCAAAGTGCATGGGTACATAATCGCACACGACTTTTAGTATTTAATGTACATTACAGTGGAACCTCGATTGTATGACTTTTAGAGAACTACGCGCAACGATCGTATGATTCGGGCATAATAGACCCTTTTCATAAGTACGCCAACTGACTGTGAGCTTTTCGTCAGTTTCGCTTCGCAAAGGAGCATGAGATAGCTAGCACCATCATGAGGGCATGGAAAGCGAGCCATCAAATGCATGAGTGCCGTGATGTTTGTGTTGGCGGCTAGTTCTTCGTTCATCTGCTGCAATCGCACCGCTATCTAGCTTGAACGAGCTCCTAATAGTCGCCGATAAGCTTTCTGAATTGGTTCCGCTGCACAATGAGCAATATTTTGTACCCTTCAACGGGTTGGTGGAGCAGTTTGGCTAGTTATGACTGGCAATGCATGGATCCGGCCAGCAAAAGACTCTCATCGATGTGTTCTCCTGACGCGGTCCGCGTCCTGCAGGAACGCAAGAGATGTCCGTGTGCGCTGCAAGAAACGCGCATCAGCGTCGCTGGGACACACTGCCTGCATCGTCTGCTGCGGTGCCCTCACAACGGCGGCAGACTGTAGTTCGCGTCCGCGGCGCTAGAGGCGCCCTTTTTCGAAAAGGGTCTATCGCATAATCAAGAAAGTAAAATTATTAGGCAATGACACTTCGCCTTGCCCAAAAACGGTACAGTCTGCCTGAATAAACCCACGGCATGACCTTGTGCCTCTGCAAGGAAGGTAGATTAAATTATTCTTGCCATTGGAGCTAATGGCAGCATCACATAGTTGGAGGACGTGCGAGAGAATATTTATTCTCAACTTTAAAAAAATCAAATCCATGTATTTTTTTACCAATAAACAAGAGTCTGAAAATTGCCTGCACGTGAAAATGAAACCGAAACAATGTTAGCAACAGCCTCCCATCAGAACACTCAGACACAGCGTCATCGCTGTCACATAATGGCCAAAGACCACGAGTTTACATACACTACATAGACAGTAGACAGCGTTTGTGTGTTACTGAGCTATGGGAGTTGTAATTTGTTGGCTTGTGAAGTGCAAGTAGTGATGTCCTACCGTTAATATGAACGTTGAAATCAAGTGAAAGTAATTTTGCACGGTCAAAACAGCTGTGTCGCGCCCTTATATGTGCACAAGCCTGCGACTGCGAATGTGACAAAAGTGAATCAGCTGTATTTTGACCAGGAAAAGTATCCACGGACCGAAAACGTGAAAAAATCAGCTTTTCGGCCCACTGAAGCTACTCTGTATGGAAAAAACTAGACTAGATAACGACCCCGGACACATATGCATGCGATCGAGGCCTATGTAAAAGCACATAATTTTCCAGGAGAATAAATTTTTCATTCTAATAAGACATCCTGTCCCTCTACTTTTCTAGTCGTCAACCTAGGACAGCGCAAGTTCATATTTTGCACTGCTGATTATTTTGTCGTTGTTTGATTTGAGTAAATGTTTTTTTTTCTTTAGGAAGAAATCTGAAAGTCGTCATAAAATGCAGAGTCGGCCTAAAGGTGCATCAATAATCAAGGTTTTTAATACATTACTTCTATGGGGATTTTGCTGGGACCAAGCCGATTTGCCGTAAAATGCGGGTCGTCATGAAACCGGGAAACGTACATGTAATCGAATTTCCACTGTAATTCGATAGGTACGAAAAAGGTAACTATTTTATTGAACAGTGTGCCAAGAATTACTGAATGCCATATTTTCTAATACAACAGCCGATTTCGCATTGTCAGTCACACCTTCATTTTAAATATAAGTGACAAAAGGTAAGGACAGTAATAGGCGAGGCGTAAACGTGCAAAGGTTCATGGGATGCACACAGTCTGCACCGGCTTCCAGTTCAACAACTCTCCGTCTGCTGCATCGCTCTTTAGGTATCGGTGTCGCTCGCGTTCTTCATGGCAACCCAATGCATATGCTGCAAATTTCAAGCGCATGTAAGCATGGCCGCACCTACGACTGACCACAAAAGGGAAGCATGTGCTGTCATTGCAAAATAATATTTTCATTTCACGTGGCAAACAACAGACTGTACGTGCCACCATGATTCTTTGTTTCTTTGAAATAATGAAGGGCATGCCTCTTGTCACGTCTTTGAACTACCGTATTTACTCGCGTGATCCTCGCACTCGCACAATTCTCGCACCCGCACAATTCTCGCACCCGCCACATCGCCCAACAAAAATACGATTTCTTTTTTTCCTCGATTAATTATCGCACTCCCAAAAACTGCTGCAATAATGTCGTCTGCTCTTTCCAGCCACTGATGATAGCGCACGTCATCTGGCGCCATCTCTTAAGCATCAAGCATACTATTGCACAGAAATTCAATCCAACTCAAGCGAAGCCGAAGTGGCCAGTGCGCGTTGCGGCGTGTTTTGTATGCTGCGTCTGTAACCTTGTCAAGTTATGAGGCGATACTGAAGCTGTACGGCTACTTTCAAGTTGCAAGTGATAGATAATGCACTAAAGAACGGCAACAGGGCCGCCGGTAGGCCCTTGGGATTGATGATAAACTTTATTTCTTAAGAAGGAAACTGCGGACAATTCTGTTAAATAGCCATCAGCCCAATAATAACGTCCCAACGTCCCACGCTTACCTTTTGAGGGCTCCTGTTGAGCGACGAACGCTACCACTACGTTCGCAACGTCCGCAAGCTTTACGTATGGTATTCTAATTCTCGACTATTTGCTTCCACTTTTTGTGTCTCAATTTAATCTTGTCTTGTGTTGAACCTCTGCTTTTATTGTTGAGGTAAGTTTTAATTAGTACTTCTTAAAGCTTGCTGTTAGTTGTTGGTGTGAGAATCCCGATTTGCGGCCACTTCATTTTCTTTTTCGCTCTGTACGTTTTCGCAGAAAGTTTTCTTGCACTCCCCAACTTCTTATCAGTTTTCCGGCAAAAAAAGTGCGAGGATTATGCGAGTAAATACGGTAATTTTACACTTGCATATCAACGCACATCACCCACTAACATTCTTATTGCTACGTTTTTCCGGGGGCACTCAGCTGTTTTTGTATTCGTAGCTGCACCGCAGCTTGTATCAATGTTCACCACGTGCGAGGGGTATCCTACGTTGATAAAACTACGTGTTCAGTGGCAACAGCCTGGCAAAATGTTCAGTTGTTTGTCCATGGATGACCATAACTAGAATGTAGTGCTGACAAAGCTTTGAAAGTGAAATATGTCAGCAGTAAGTTTTCAGCGGAGTCGAGATTGTTTAGCGTTCACGTATTGCATTGCATTGATGAACAGGCTGGCCGAGACGATGCTCACTTCATAGTTAAGTGCTGTGTTTTTTTATGCATAGTTACCTGTTCTGCTCGCATATGCACCAGATCAAGTATGAATAAATTGACTACTACAAAAGAAATGCTTGGAGGAACACTTGAAATTACCAGCAACACATTGTATACATGTTCTATAAAAGGAATAGTGGGGCGCTTTTTCTTGTTTACATAGCATTACTGACACATTATTTTCTACCACTGGTGTGACGTCGTCGCCTTGAGAACGACTGGCTGATTGTGTATACATCGCTGTAGTTGTTGTCATTGACAATTGCTGTGTCCATGGATTCCACAACGTTACTGCTGGCTTGATGTCGTGTGTCTGTTGGCTGCTGTGTCACGCTATTTTCAGTGTCAGAGCTGGCTGCACCTTTCGCGACAGCCGTGCGTTTTAGCTAAATGCCATATGCTTATTGTTGCTGCGTAGATGGTGATTGTGGTTGTGCTGATGAAAAACTACACACTCAAATGCCTTTCGTGCTTCCGTTTTGATGCCTGTTTCTTTTTCGTCGAGCCAAAATATAGACGACACATAGTCCACCTGCCGTGGATCTTTGCTGGGAATACCTATATGTAGATACCGAATGTGTCAGACAAACGAAACCATTCATGTAGGATTTGGGACAAATCACCTACCTGACGCTAGGCATCCAAAGGCTCTCCTTATTACCACAAAACCCACTTCAATTTTCTATCTTCGTTCCAAAGAAATTTGAACATATTTTTCTCTTTGGTGCTCGAACTCGTGCAACCGACAGCTGCACAACCAACCATGATTGTGCTGGCAATTAGATTGCAACACAATCAAAAGAAAAGACGTGTCTACAGCTCCAAAAACGCAGCCAGCGAAACAGCGCGCCACGGATATCTTGAACTGAAAGCCGATGCAGACGGCGACTCCTATGAGTCTTTGCGGGTTTACGCCTCACTTATATGAAACACCTTTGCACTGCAAAATTCTGAACAAGAGCCCCCAAAGGGATAATTCTACAAGATTTGGAGGAACTGCCCTTGCTCGGTCATGGATCAAAATTCAAGATGGCAGTGGATAAGCCGCTAAGAATAAAGAATTCACACCCGTGCTTCTAATGAAATGCTTTATTCAATGAACACGCATTCACTGTTTTCATTCACCCTCGTCAGGCGAATAAGCAGTGAATGGAACAGAGAAAATGATAGGAGGGGAGAAGAGGCCACATATTTTAAATTTCCTGAAAAAAGTATGAGGGCACTAGCTCAGATTTTTATGGTAGTTAAAACTTGAAAGCATCATTTTCAGCAAAAACTAAGTAATGTAAGCGGTAGCTCAGAATTTTATGGTAGTTAAAACTTGAAAGAATCATTTTGAAAACATTAGTAATGTAAGCGGTATCAGTTATGATACATAGTTTCACAGAACAATTATACTTTGCAAATACTATCCATTTTCAAATATATCACCATGCCAGTCACAAACTTAAGACAATTGTTGCACTTCAGAAAACAAATAGCAGCCCAGAATTCTGAACCATCGGCACTCACCAATACGAAATCTCTCTTTCCTCATTTCATCAACCAGCCAGCTAGGTGTGCCTTTTGGAATCTTGTAGATGTTCGGGTAGTTTGGCATAGGTGGCTCATCCTCCAAAGGATTGAGAGACTTCAGACGCTTCAGATAAACTTCTTCCCGAACTTCCCTAGGGTCTCGGTATTTGTCAAGATATCTATACGCCACAGGGCATGATAAATGAAGAGAGTATAAATAAAAATTACTGCTCATAACTGTCTGCAACATGAGATACAATGGTGCTTTTGTGACACCCAACTGCGCATGGGCAGCTCCTAGCACTGGAGGTTCGAAACAACAATATGAAAGGAGCACGCACGGCTGAGTTGGTAGCCAGTAGCGTGGCATCAGGTCCATGGTCCCTTACCCTCACCGCCATTAGCATGAAACTAGTGTTGGACATCACTGCTGTCAGAAATTTAGTGCGACACCAACACTTTGTTTCTCACTGGGGCCCCTTAATAGTATGTACTCTAGGAAGTCTACAATACAAGGCTGTGTATGATGGCAGAGAAGCACCGCATGAGTGCAACACAATCGTGTCGAAAATGCAAATGCACACAAACGTAAATTCTCTGTCCTTTTCATTAACAGCATGCGGACGTTGTTCTTAACTTCTTTTTTAAATGTGTCACTTGTATTCAAAAAGCTAATAGACAGCAACAAAAAGGGTGGTAAGCACACAAATCCCGAAAATTTCTCTATGGCGTAATGCTGGTGCGCTCCAGATACCAAGGGGAAAGGTTACTCATACTGCTAGGTACAGTGAGCAGCCAAAATCACAGTGTGTGCAATGTAATATTCATTGGTTTATGAATGAAAGCTAAATCCTTCGACGATGTTCGCACCTGAATGTTACCGACACATTGTACACGACGTTGGGCATGTGTCCCTTTCAGAACATCTCACGATTCATTTCCTCTTGCATGAAGCACGCTCTACTAGACACCTAGTGAGCTTCGAGCTGCACTTTTTATACTACCGAAGAGCTTCAGCCAGCCGTTCGAACTGTTTTAGTATCCTCCATGTGTAAAGAATTCACCAGCGTGTTCCATCCAACTGATGACAAAAGCTGTGCTACAGCCTAAATGCCGCTGCCGGTACTTCTTGCACGCTGTGACAAACTCAAGTGGAAAGAAACATCGTTTCAAACTCTTCAACTTGGGCACTCTCTATTTTTCACATTCTGAAGCTCTGACGTTGAGAGAGAACAATAAAAAGCGTTTTACCTGCTTTCATTGTGCTCCTCTCTCTGTTATATCATCTATTCACCCATAAGAGTGCTTACTCCGCTCCCCCCAAATCTCACCTTTCACCCCGCGGCAACTTATTCTCTATGGGTACCTGCAGTTTCCAAATGCTTTCGTGCGCGGCCGCAAGTTGCCGAGAAAAGCAGGCGCATCCCTTTCATTGATAACACTGGGCTGTGTGCAGAAGAGTGTAGACAAGGAGAATATTGCAAAGCAGTGGATGTAATTTTCCGTGCTTTTCTCCCGGCAAGAGGTACCAAAAGAAAGGCCGGCTATTGCACAACAGCATAACAAAACATGTGTAAAGCCGAAAGAAATATCCAGAACGAACAGCCGTGCTAGCCCGTCTTGTGAGGTTCGAAAACACGTAAACAATTTAAAGAGTCCCATGGACCATACTACAACAGGACGGTAGGCTCCTTTAATACAGGCTGTTTACTGTGCCTTTGCAGCAAAGGTTTTATCTCTGGCCATTTCTGCAATGCGCACTTCCAAGCACATTTCCTGCTCGTCCCTGCTTTCAACAGCGCATGAAAGCAGAAACTTAGCTTCAAAGGAAGGAAAAAAACGTAAAATTCAACACAAAGCAGAAGCCAATACTATGTTTTTTAACTGTCCTCACACGCTGCTCATTGGTTTGCAAGTCTTGCGCACGGCGGAAATGCATTCAGGGCGGGCAGCCGCATGGCGGCACCTGTCGAATTGTTTCTCGTGGCCACTGCATGACGACATTACCACTATGCGTCGCAAAAGGCCCACTGCAGTGATAGCCAATAAAATACACTTTCACAATAGTGATGGTGCTCATAGTAGTTTTGTCCGGCCTCATACTTGTAAGTGCACTATCTAATTACTTTTCTAATGGGTGGCCGCATACAATGTTTCAAGTCCTTTTGGTTGAAACAGAAACAAGGCAGTGAGCAAAAAGCTTTCACTTTTTACTCACTACTCTGGTCAGTGTCTCTCTGCTTAAACTCTGTGTTCCTTCTTGACCCGACAGACGCCAGTGGATAGCATTTGACATGAATTTTTACACGCATCTTTAGTGTCATTGTAGTTGGCCCTGTTTTTCAGTTTGAATATGAACAACCAACTTGGCAAACCTTTCACCTTACTAAAAAAAAGGATGCTTTGTACAGTAAAAGCTAATAAATTTCAACTCGAATGGGACTATAAAGTTGCTTGAACTAGTAAAAGCTAATCAATTTCAACTCGAATGGCACTATTAAAGTTGCTTGAACTAAGTGTAGTTAAAATTAACAGGTGGACGATAGAACAAATGCACAGTGCACCACACTGCGCAGGCACAACCCAAAAAAAGCCACTTCAGGACTCGTTATTGTGAATTGGCCAATACTACACATTTGTGGCAGGTTTTTTTGTCAAATAGGTTCTTCAAGCTGTAACAGTAAACAAGATTAATTAATCAGTCAGTGAAACGCCAGAAACAAGCGGCGGCATGTGTTCATGTGACGGCTGATCCTTACTGTCAAAATATATTACGCTATTTATGCTCCAGAACATGTTCATTTACATAGCATAGTTAATGCAATCAAAATGAAAAGTAATCAAGAATTTGCATTTGCATGCACTTCTGTTGTGACAATGAGCATCATTTGCAGCTGGCTCAAGAGCACCAGCACAGCGTCTGAAGTCTCATATATGGTGAAATGCTGCTGCATCGTTGTTTTGCATCTCTAGTAAACTTGGTTTGGTTTCGTTTTGCAACACATTGTGATGATCACTTTGGGCAGACTTCTGCGAGAAGCGATAGAAGCCAGGAGGCTCCAAGTTCAAAATTGAGTGGTGGATATCAACGCGTTTGAATTATTGCATTTTCCCCCATAGAAATTCACAGGACTATGCCGGGATCAGGACATCAATTTGAATTAACAGTAAGTTTGAATCAATGAGCTTTTACTATAGCAGCAAAAGCAAACTGCACTAAATGCCACATTAACTATAGAAACAAAACATATCACAATACAATATTCCTCTCAGAGGCGCCAATCTTGCACAAAGTTCCACATAAAGCAATTCACATTCATCAGGTAAAGATGACATTTTTCAAACAGCTTACATATTAAAAGGCTCCTTGTGAGGGTACAGGACTTGCTTCGGGACATATTCTGGGGGGTGAATATATTCAAAGGTGGGCACTCGCATCTCTGAAAACAGATTATATTTATATAAAATTGCAGTAGACAAATGGGATTGCATACTAGGCAAAAACATCTCCACTGCTCATATACAAAACCAAAAATGCTAACTAATGCTTGCTATGATGACACATCAATATAAAGACCTCTTTATGGGATAATAAAAAGAGACTACATTGAAGGGATAGACAACTGCTCAGAATACTGAGATAACCGCACTAATAAAAATATTGTCTAACGTTCTGGCTAAAATGAGCCTTGCTTTTCTCATTAAATGCAAATTAGTACTTTCATCTGTTCAGTAGTAGTAGTAGTAGTAGTAGTAGTAGTAGTAGTAGTAGTAGTAGTAGTAGTAGTAGTAGTAGTAGTTGCAGTAGTAGCGGCGGCGGCGGTGGTGGGTGGGTGGATAGATGGACTTTATTTGGTCTTCCAGAACATGCTTTAGCATGTTGCGGGCCGCTCCCACGTCGGAACAAAAAGACCAAGCCTCTGGTAGAAACTTTATTTTACTGCAGAGAATTAGGGCGAAGGTGGGCAAGTCCCTTAGTCCAGGGCCCAACTGGCCTTCGTGGCTCACTAGGCCTGATAGAGCACAACTTGGCTCTTCTAATTCGCAAGCCAGACTTCCTACTAAAGTAATCTCTCTTCCGTTGTAACAATAACAGACCCTTTGTTATTCAAGACTGCAATTTCTCAGCAATGCTTGTAACTATACGCAGTTTCCATTATCTATCTTTGTCTTGTATGTGCTTGAATTCTTATACATTTTTAGTTGACTTATGTTGCCTTCCTGATTTGCGCATTGACACTTGTTTCTTTATTTTGTCTTTTTTTTCTTGTGTGTTATAAATGTTGTACCCACCCCCTCTGTAATGCCCTACGGGCCCTGAGGGTATTCTAATAAATAAATAAATCAAAAATGGCTTTGGGTGCACCATGTGGCAAAAATGTAAAGAGGCTTGGGTCCAATCACATGACCATCTACAAGTGTACACAGTTAGCACACTGTCTTTACATTAGCTTTGAAATGCAGTACACCATTTTTTCTTTTCAATCCTTACTAACTTAAAATGTGAAGATAGGCTCTTGCTTGTGGTGCCACGTTCATCTGACCCAATACTCATGAGCTGCAGCATGAAAGTTGTTGGCTGAGGGACTAGTGGTACATACTAACCTTCTGACAAGTTCGAGACGTACCAGTAGCACTTCACTTGCGAGGTGGGAAAAGAGATCTCATGTGATGACAAGTGTTTAGAGAGCTTATTCTGCCTGCTTTTTATAATAAAAAATAATTGAAAATATCAAAATGAAAGTAGTCAAGGGGACTGACGACCGTATTTTCTCTACCCATTTTTTTTATGGCGCGACAGAAAGCTCACCCTTCATAGTATTTGTAGCTGCAGTAGTTAATCCCAAAAGCACGTAGTTATTTCACAAACAGTATTTTCCTGTCTGAAAGGCTCTTCAAACACACATGTATCTTTCCTTCAGCAATGCTGAGAATTGATAGCGATATCGTTTGTGAGGCCTCTCCCAAGAGCAACACCCTGAAAAAAGCCGGGTGTCTGGCCAGGGTACGCTTGCGCCCAATTTTACCGGTGGGTATCAGGCGGTGAGTTTCGAACGTCGTCATTCTGCTTTTGAAGGCGTTCCTGTGACTATGCATAACCACCTTTATTTTAAACTATTCAACTATTTTTGAAAATAACAAGCTATTACAATGAGATAATGTGGCATTCCCTGCATTTGTACTGCATTGTGTGCGCCTGCACCCAAGGTTGCCTGCACCTGTGTCATGGTAGACTTGTCACGACACCGTTACTCTCACTACACAAGCCATACCAAGTCACCGAAACATCACTACGTATATACATGGCCGTGCCAAGTAGCAGTGCACGTCATTTGTGAGACAAAGAGCACAAAGCAAAACTGTGTTGCTCCAAAATATTTGTGACCTGGAAACTGCGTGCAAGGTTGCAGGAGCATGCTGAAGAGTTGCTGAAACTGCGTGCAAGGTTGCAGGAGCATGCTGAAAGAGCATGCTGAAGATCGTTTAATATAAAGACACGAACAATATTTCAATACTAATAAATCGTCAACTGTGTACAGCAATCAATGATTGATTAATATGTGGGGTTTAACGTTCCAAAAGCACCATATGATTATGAGAGACGCCGTAGTAGAGAGCTCCAGAAATTTTGATCACGTGGGGTTCTTTAACAAGCACCCAAATCTGAGCGCACGAGCCTACAGCATGTTCGCCTCCATCGAAAATGCAGCTGCCACAGCCGGGATTCAACCTCGCGCGCAACCTGCAAGTCAGCCCAGTACCTTAGCCACTTGACCACCGCGGCGGGGCGCACAGCAATTAATGATCACGTGCCCAGTACATTGGATCGTTCATGTTTTTGACACCAGAGGTGCCACAGGTCATTTCTTGCAACTTTCAATTGAAAAATAAAAAGAATTAATGAAAATATAAATCCACCTCTCAAAAAAAAAAAAAAAACAGGGTTGGTTTCAGTCACTGCGACAAACAATCTTTCTATCAGTGGAGTCGTTTCATTTCATGTTATGGACAGTTGTCGGTCCCTTTAACCGTAGCTTCAAACTCCTGTTAAAGCACAAGATTAATGAATGAGTTGGAGAAGGGCTATAAGCACCTCTACCACTTCTCAGCCTGTCTAGACTAGAGGAGGAACTTTTTCAGAGGTTCTGAGATTCAAAAAATTGCCCTTACAAAATATTTACGCTCTTCTGGAAACAACCATGGCAGGGCTAACTACGAGCTTTCCTTTGCACCTCAAAAACTGGGTCAAGAGAAATCAGTTCTCAGTCCCTTTAACCGGATGTCGTGGCTTATATTTCTAGGCACATGTTGGGTCAGCTTTTTTTTTGTTTAACTTTTGCTCTTTTAATAATGTAATAATAGCAGACAATATGCTTCATTTTTTTAAGTCACCTACTGCACATAGCTTGCTCTCATGTTAATCCTTTTACACTTTGTATGCCTTGTATTTTATTAAATATTCATGTTTCACCTTGCATGGGCATGCAAGGTGCCTTAACACATTGCGGTCCATTGTTAGCCCTTGCCCAACACGGTCGCAGTGGTCTGTGGTTGGTCACGGCTGAATTAGTTCTTTCGCAGCTGACACATTTTTTCACTACATTATGGGTCATTTGTAGAAGAGTAAGTAAACCTATTTTACTTGAGCTTCAAGTCTTTTTGTTTCGGACCAGAGTGAACAGAAGGCACAGAAGGTGGGAAAGAGCTGCTGACCGCACAGGCTTAATATTAGTGCCCACTTCTGCCATGTCTCATAATGAAACAGCAATATTTTTAAATAAATTTAAATACTCACGCAAAATATGGTGGAAAAAATCTACCAGGCTGTCTTCCCACGTGCACTGAAAAAATGCTAGTCCAGCAGGTGTCAACATGCTTTCAAACTCCTTGTAAAAGTCATACGTTTTAAAGGTCCTTTCCTTCAGGCTTGTACTGTAGAAAAGAAATGCACAAAGCTAAATATACAAATATAATTTTTTACACCCAACAATCTCATCTGAAATATCGGAGTGTGAACATAGATCAAATATATGAAATGGCCACATAATAACCTTACATGTATTTTTGAACAGCCCCTTACAAAACTTGAGAATTAAAAAAAATGGGGGGGGGGGGGGGGGGGCATACTTCAGTGATACCACCGAAGTCTGTTAATTTGGAGCAATCCCGAGCAGTTAACTTTTCATCCTGAAGGAGAAGCAAGTAGCCTTTACAGTCAAAGACATAAATAATTATTTTGGGGCTCCTGTGAAGAGCTAGAAATATTTTGATTAATTGCAAACCTCATGATGCCAGCCGTCTTAAGAGCAATCGCTATTTCAGTTGATGATGCACAAATAATGTCATGCTGATGAGCATTCTAGAAAAACTTGTTAAATGATTATTTTCGTAGCAAATGAATAAAATATTGGTTGAATAAAATAGTACTTCACGAAATAACATTCTGAATGCACCCATGTGGTTATTAGCAGATTTGGTAGACAAACACTAGAGACTCACACAGTCCCAACTGCATTTCTCTAAGACAAATTCAAGGATACAAAAAAAGGTTCTTTTTATTCCCAACTGATTATATTGCTGAGAATAACATAACGTCATTTAGCTAGTCTCATAAAGCCAACCTCCTCCAGCACTGATTTCTCTGTGCTAAAACTGAACAATTTAACAAACTTCGTTTTCCTTTCACAGGGGTGTTTTATGTGGCTAGGGCGTTTCTCTATACACCAAAAACCCCCATAGTGTCCTCTAGAAAGCAGTGGAAATAGAAAAAAAAACCTGAAGGGGCACTTAATGCATTCACCAAAGACAATTTGAAGGTGAGAGCCATTTTGTTTTTATTACGATGGCAACTATATCGACATTCTCGACTAAATTTTGGCATTACTAGGGGAATAGGAAGAAAAATGTTTCATTTTTTAGGGGGGGGGGGGGGGGGACTTTGATTTGAATGGGCGGCAGAGGCAAATGGTCGTTTTGGGCGATATGTTCCATGGCGAAACAATTTTTTTTTTTTTTTTGGGGGGGGGGGGGGAAGGGACATTCTTGATGCCCCTCCCTTCCCGGCTACGCTACTGAACGTCACAGTCATGTTTTGGGTACTGTCCAAAAAATACCATCCTCCCGCGCATCGGGATTTGCACGCAGGTAAAAGCGCGCGAGCGGGGGTAACGAACGCAGCTAAAGCAGAGATAAACGAGCGAACATAACTCCTTTGCATGAAGGACAGATGCGATAACATCACCCCGCGTGGCAGGCCTGCCATTGATTGTTCCTCAAGCAGAGAGGAACGCGCCGCCAGCTTTCAAGGAGCAGAAAGGAACTAGGACCGCAAGGGAGGGGGGGCTTATTATATGAACTCTGACTTTAAGGGTGTGAACACTAGCACGCTCCCTATTTCAGCAGGCATTAAAGACAGCTGGTATACCCTTCTACCTTCCACTCTCAAAGCTAAGTGACTGGGCGAAAGCTCTTCACTTTCTGAAGTGGCCATATAGGGGTGTGTACTGAGCCTTGATCACAAGGCGACCACACCATAGTCATACCATTTTGAATGTCCATTTGTACACACTGTTAGCCGTTACTAAATTCCATGATAAAATCCCACTTATCTAAAGCAGCGGAAAGTGTGCCTGTCGACAATGTTGTTGGCCGCGGCTTCTGTCTCACGTTAGCTACAACCTTCTGTTGATGCTCGTGCACAAGGACTGAACACGCAGTATGATCATGTTTGGCATCATTACAGCGTCTCCCTTTACGTATTTATAAAAACAAAAAAAAAGTGCGGCAGCTGGAGCAGCCGGCTGGGCGCTCTAGACAAGTCTGATTCTATCTGTATGTGTGTTGGCGTGCAAGGGGTGTTCCGGAGGTCTCGAGTCATCCAAGTCGCTGTACGAACATCGAACACAGTGCATGCAAAAAGCTTTCTGCGCGTGCACCGAGTGTGCGGACTTTCAAAATGGCAACCCCATCGCTAGTGCACCTCGCGGGTGATGTCAAGCCTTATTGTTTGGTACAAAAATACAATTTGTTAGTATCGCATTCATTGCTAAGAGCTTATGTGATAGTAACAAATTGTGTCTTTTGGACTCGATATTGTCACGGCTAAAGGCCGGCCAAGAAGACAGAGGACGATGAAGTGATGAGCGTGGACAGCACCCACGGTTCCTCCGAGGAAGAAGAAGTCGAAGCAGCTGCTCTTTTGTTTTGTCAATACAGACCTCGTTTTTTCTGGTCGCACCGTCATCCTGTATTCTGTTATTTTCACCTAGCGACATTGGTGAAGGTGCTGGACTTCTCCAACTGATGCTTGGGACACCTCCGCGCCCTAGCACATCCACAACCGCAATCCGTTCCTGCAGTAGATACCCCTGTCCACCGCTACAGTCGCCGACAGCGACGCCTCAGTCCCGAGGCGATCCCGCTCGCGGTAAGGTTTATGAAGACGTCGAGGACTGGTTAGCCCAGTATGAGCGAGTCCCCAAAGCCAACCGCTGGTCCACTTAACAAAAGCTATCGCGCGTCTACTTTGCTTTGGCAGACAGCGCTCGTACATGGTACGAGAACCGCGAGTCAACGCTGTCTTCGTGGGAGGAATTTCGGCAGCAAATTCTCGAGACATTCGCAAACACCGACCGCCGTGATTCTGCTTTGCAGCTCATCGAGGCACGCATACAGAAACCAAACGAGAGCGTCGTCATGTTTGCGGAAGACATGATCCGCCTATTTCAGCGGGCCGACCCCGAGATGCTTGAAGGTAAAAAACTCCGACATTTGATGAGAGGCGTCAAAGAAGAGCTGTTTGCCGGTCTCCTACGCAACCCACCAACAAGCGTAGCCGAATTTGTCAAAGAGGCTACAACAATCGATCGAGCACTGCAGCAACAGCGCCGATACCATGACCAACCAAGCAAAACATCTCCCAGTCTTTCTGCTTTGAGAGCCGGTAGTGAGTGTTCTCTGCGCGAACTCATTCGTGAGGTCGTTCGGGAGGAGATCCGAAACCTCCTTGTGACTCCGCAAGAAAATACCATGGCTTGCGTTGCAGAAGTTGTGCGGCAAGAACTCCGTCAGGCCTTTTCGTTGCCCAAATCGCCCTCAGACCAGCGGTCTGTGAGCTACGCATCAGCTGTCCGTCGACACGCTCCAGTGTCCTACAACTCGTCACCACTGGCTTATCGCGACGTGAGCCAAGGGCCTTACAACGAGCCGTGGGCCCCAGCTCCCAATCCGCCGCAGCCGTATCCACAGTCCAACGTGCCTATGCAAACGGCGCCAATGTACACTCCGCCGACATCTGCATCTTGGTCGCAAAGTATGCCCACCAGTCGACCATTCATCCGTAAGACGGACTTGCGGCGCACCGTCGACCGTCGACCACTTTGCTTTCCTTGCGGAGAAGCCGGCCATATTTTCCGCAATTGCCCGTACCGTGACCGTAGACATCATAACTTTCTACAAACCTCCCCTCGTGCCTATTTCGATAACCGCCGTGACAGCAGTGCAGGCCCGCAAGTACAGCAACCCGAAGTGCCGTATCGTCGACCCCGCTCTCCTTCACCTGCACCGAACTCGCCGCCGCAGCGCAGTTACTCCAAGGTGGCCCGCGGCAGATCTCCTAGCCCTCGTCGGAGAAACTAACAGCTGCGACCTTTGGGGGGAAGGTTGCCGCCTGTTGAGATGCTATCACACCCCCAACATCTTCTCTAAGACGTGATACGACGAATGATACCACGGATCGTACGACGCACGATACCAAGGACGATACGACGTCACCGACATCAACGGAAATCGTAAGCGCCAATCTAGACATTTGTATAGACGGACGCCCAATAACAGCACTGGTACATACTGGTGCGGACTTCTCTATTATCAGCCGTAAACTCGCCGACTGCCTAAAGAAAGTAAGAACAATATGGACGGGACCAAACATTAGAACCGCAGGGGGTCAATTGGTGACGCCGACAGGCAAATGTACAGCTCGAATTAATATCGGCAGTTAAGATTTCGTCGCTACTTTCGTAGTTTCACCGGAGTGTTGCAAAGACCTGATCTTGGGCATGGACTTTTTGCGTGAATACGGTGCCATTGTCAACATTCCTGAGAGATCGGTTATGTTTTGGACGGCCCCAGATCAAGTTTCGGGTGTGCCCTGTACAGACCAGCGACGTCAGCCTTTGCGTGTCTTCGAAGACGACATGACCATTCTACCGCGGTCGAGTGCACTCGTGGCTGTGACATGTGACACGTCGAGCGATTCTGAAAACATCGCCGAGCAAATTCCAACACTGCTATTCAGCCATGGTTTATCTATCGCAAGAGGCGTCGTAAGCATAAAATGCGGACACACGCACGTCCTTGTTACGAACTTCAGCTCTGAACGCCGTCATCTAACGAGGGGCATGGCAGTCGCGTACGTGGAAAAGCTCGCCGAGATGACAGACTGCCTAACTCTTGAAAAAGATAATTCAACTGATCTGACCCCTGCACCTCTATCTGTTGATATTGGCCCAAGTTTGCTGCCGGCGCAGAAGCAAAGTATCATGCAGCTTATTAACAAGTTTGAAGATTGTTTCTCTTCGATTTCCAGGGTCCGTCAAACGCCGCTGACGAAACATCGAATTATAACGGACGACATGACCAGAACCATCAGGCAAAACCCGTACCGGGTAGCTCCGCGAGAACGTGAAGCCATCGAAAAGCAGGTGCGACAGATGCTTGAAGACGACGTTATTCAGCCGTCGAAAAGCCCTTGGGCTTCGCCGGTTGTATTAGTGAAGAAAAAAGACGGCACCTTACGTTTCTGCGTGGATTACCGCAAGCTGAATCAGGTGACAAAAAAAGACGTCTACCCATTTCTGCGTATCAACGATTCACTCGATCGACTACGGCACGCGCGTTATTTCTCGTCGATGGATCTAAGGAGTGGGTATCGG